GAACTCGTGAGCAAACTCAAACAAAAAAAGGAATCATACAGAGGGTGAAAGCAAGGACAGGTAACCTGGGGACAATACAGAGACACTGTCCGTGAAGCCAGAGATCAGGTTAGGAAAGCTAAAGCCCTAATAGAATTAAATATGGCCAAGGACATTAAGGGTAACAGGAAGAACTAGAAGTATGTCAGCGATAACAGGAGGACTAGAGAAAATGTGGGCCCCCTCTGGAAGAAACGGGGAGACCTGGTGACTCAGTATATAGAGAAGGCTGAGGTATTTAACGAGTTCTTCACCTCAGTCTTCACTGTCAAGAGCTCAAGCCACACTGCGCAAGTTGCAGAAGGCAAAAGCAGTGACTGGAAGAACCACCAGCTGTAGAAGACGAGGTTCGAGACCATCTAAAGAACCTGAAGGTGCACAAGTCCATGGGACCTGATGAGATACATCCACGGGTCCTGAGAGAGCTGGCAGATGAAGTTGCCAAACCACTATCCATCATATTTGAGAAGTCATGGCACTCTGGTGAAGTTCCCGCAGACTGGAAAAAGGGAAACATAACCTCCATTTTTAAAAAAGGAAATAAGGAAGACGAGGGAAACTACAGGCCGGTCAGTCTCACCTCTGTGCCTGGCAAGATCATGGAGCAAATGCTCCTGGAATCTATGCTAAGGCACATGGAAAACAAGCAGGTGATTGGTGACAACCAACACGGCTTTACCAAGGGAAAATCACGCCTGATGAATTTTTCACTGTGAGGGTGGTGAGACACTGGCACAGGTTGCCCAGGGAAGCTGTGGATGCCCCATCCCTGGAGGTGTTCAAGGCCAGGCTGGATGAGGCTTTGAGCAACCTGGGCTAGTTGGAGGTGTCCCTGCCCATGGCAGGGGGTTGGAACTTGATGATCTTTAAGGTCCTTTCCAACCATAGCCATTCTATGATTCTGTAAGCTGAACTGAAAGTAGCATTGCTTGATCTCATGTCAGGCCTACTCATGTTAACTGGTGTTAAAATGGATAGCTTGCTTTGCTGCTGTCAATGTTCAGCTTAAAACACTTAATGTACTTAAACACTTATGTGCTTAGAATTCTTCAGTATTCTGTGTTCCTGCCAGCTTGTATTTCTGAGGGATCTGCCTCATTTGAAGCATCCAAACTATGTAAATAGTTTGCATAAGAACTATGCTATGTCCCCTCTTTTGCAGATTTTGATCAAGCAGTGCTGCTGCAGTCCTATTGTTTGTGGTCTTCCCTTATAGAAATTTCTGGGAAAGAGCCAAGAGATCTTTCTTCAGCTTTATGAATTTCCAAGGAGGAACAAAAGGAAAAATTGTTGATGAAGACAGAGGGCTTCAGGAACCTATAGTGTTGTGTATAGAGCCCTTAAGGGCTCTGACAGACACATGATGATAGATTAAAATTGATCAGCTAAAGTTTATGCTACAGCAAGTCATACAGTCAGCCCTTCTGACAGATATTATTGCCATCTGAATGGTCCTTGGTTTCAGGTTGATAGAATAGGCAAGGTCAAAAATGGTGGTAGTAGTGAGGGAAGCAAGTCTTTCCAAGAGGATGGCTGCCTAGTAATGCTTTGGTCATTCAGTTTTATTCTACTACAGCATGTCTGTCAGAGCCTTGACGCTGCACAGGAGCATTTGGTATACGAACAAATACAGGAAGGGGAGAGGCAACCTGCTGGGGACAACAATGAGAAATATTTCAGTAGAGATGCGGAAATCAAGTCTGAGGCAAGCAGAAAATACATACTAATTGTCTCCCACAATTAACAAAAGAGGACCAGTGAAGGTCTAAGAATTAAATTACCTATATGTCACGAAGCATGGAACAGGAAGATACTCGTTAGCTTTTAAAGACAATCAACTCTTTTCAAGTTGGCACCTTGTTCCTTTTCCCTTAGTAACTGATGGAATTTTAGTCATAGGTTTCAGATAATTGATTTCAGTAGGATTAGCATCTAACAGATTACTGGAATTATGTTATCTAATTTAATACTATTTCTAAAATTGTTCAGACTGGACGATTTGGAGGGACAGCTGATTTGCTTTTAAAAGCTGCCAGCAGCATGTTTTTGGGCACTCCCCATTGTGGCCTGATCCTGACACAGAATCTGCAGGGAAGGTAGTTTAGTCATCAGATCTTGGCTTGGTTCTGTGGACATTTAATGAATTAATATAACATTTAGTGAAGCACTTTACACCAATATGATAGCATAGATTCTGGAACCATTGCAGCACCACTTGTCTTTTCTTAGGAATGTCTTGTTCTTCTTTTTTCTAAATGTTTCCTGTCTTTGTTCCCCAAATAAGTAAAATCCTGTTCATCAATTCCACCTCTTCCACTTGAATACATGGATTATGCTCCCTGTTTCAGGAACAGCTGAATCCTTTGCTAAATGACCTTTGTTCCTCATCGTAAACATTAGTAATATGAGAAGTTTCTTGCATTGGGGTGTTTTTTGATAGGTCTACTATTATATCCAGATAAACACAATTCTTATGGGACACTCACATTAGTATAAATGCACGCAGATATATGTTAGTCCTATTACTAGGAAAAAAATCCATGCTACTTCAGCCTCTTTGCATTTGGAATATATTTCTTAATTGTTTCACTTGAATTTTACCTAACTAGTAATTAATTTTTATCTATCATACACTGAAACTTAGTTTTTAACTGTCAGTCTCCTTGTGGTTATTTGCTTGCATTGAAAAAGAAAATGTATTTGAGACACTGTAGCTAATTTGTGACTGTTTTCCCTGGGAAAATTATTATGGAAAATCCTATTTAAAGGCTGGTTCTTCAACTGCCTTTGCAGGGACCACATGCAGTGGTCACAAGAAGAAGAGCAGAATGCCAAGGAAAAAGCAGCAGAGAACTCACTTGTCAAAGTCCAGTGGGAAGACCAAGGTAACAAATTCATAATGAAATGGTATTTATTAAAGCATTTAAAGATGCTTTAAAATCCAGGAACGCTCTTTTTAGTTTTACATTCTCTTGTCTAAATTTGTTGGTTGCTTTTTTTTTTTTTTTCCTTTTTTGCCTCAAAAGATTGTCTCGAAGTGTGTTTTTCTAGCAATTCAGATACTTATTTGAGCAATTTTGCATTTGGAGAGGGGCAACAGGCTCTGTGTAAACCAAGTACATCAGTATGGCACAGTTGTGAGTTGTGGCTCCTTTTGCAGTTCTTCAGAATAAAACTCCTACTACACAGGACTGTTACTTCATCAAAGGGAATGAATTTGCAGCCAGCTAGGATGCTGGGGATAAAAATTCCCATGTACAATATTCAGATGCTTTTTCATGATTTGTGGACTGTTTAGAGAGAGCTAGTGTTTGTACATTGCACCATATTTCAGTTAAGTGCCATGAAAGTTTCACTGGTCCCTGCTGGTCCCAGCTTTTGCTGCCTTGCCCGGGCTGAGCTGGGAGTGCTTCAGGAAACAGTGTGTTTGCTTTGTGTGGAAGGTGTTCCAATACATCATGCAGTCTGATCTGTAAATGATTAAGGAATTTCATGCGTGTCTTCAGAGGGGAAACAATGTATTCTGCATTTCTGAATAGCTCTGGGTTCAAACTGGCAAACTAAACCCTAGACTAAACTCTGGGATAGTTATGTGTGATAGAGCTGGCTTATCAACTTGATAGTAACATAGAACACTGGATTCTTAATTTGTTCCTTTATTAGAAGGATATTGTGAAAACAGTTATTTGGATGTCCTGGGTCTCAGTTTACTTAGCGTACCTTCAACCTGTCACATTAGATAGTGTCATTATGATCCTGTGCACAGTTTCATGGATGTAACTGAGGCACATGTTGGAATTTATTTGAATTATCTGTGAATGTGTCTTGGATTGTGTGCCCTTTGTCACTTTGAATGCTCTGGGATTGTCATCCTGCCCTTTTCTGTTACTTCTCTCATTCTTTATCTAAATACAGGAGAACAATGTTTGCTTTTCAAAAATGACATCTCATATTTTCATTGGATTTATATAAAAAGTTGAAAAAGAGCTCATAATTGAAAAGTAAGCTGTGTAACCATGTGGCTTATGGAACCTTTCATTCTTCATCTATAGTCAATTAGAACTTAGTTTGTGCTGGTGAGAAATGGAATAATCAGGCATTTGTCTATTGCCAAGAAATACAAGAATCCAAGGACATCTCCTATGAATGCCCCTCTGTTTAGAACTTGAATAGGTGAGCATTGCTGATAGGGTTCCTTCAGAAAGCTTCAGCTTTATTCTGCAAGTGGAAGTACATTTTAGCCTGTTTGTGTAACCAATGAACTAGACTGAAGCTAACGAGCAGGTTATTTTGGGGCCTCAGAAAATACAGTAAGGGAAAAAGACAAGACAGATTTCAACAATACTCTTATATCACTAAAATAGCATAGTTCTGGTAAGCCTCATTAAAACAAAGAAGTTAAACTGAATGAACTCATGATACTACCTTTAGGAATTTAATTTACTATTAACATGTCCAGTTCCTTCTCAGGCATGCCTGCTAGTCTATGAAAGGTTCTATTAAGGAGACAAATCAGTTTACTAAGTAAGGGTTTTTTTTGGTCTTAAATGGTTACAGGATTGTTAGTTTTGTCATTTTTACATGCTTTGGAAAATGTGGAAGTCAGGCTACTTAAATATACAAAATGAAACAAAAATTTGGTAATAATAATGCATGCGTGGTTATTACACAGTGGTGCAGGAGTGCCCAGTGAAAGAATGGAAAGTCAAGTGTTCTTTCACTTGAGCCTGTGTAATACCATACTAATACAATATGAAAGGCTAACTTTAGCCATTGCTTTCCTTCAGTTCTGAAGTTGAGAAAACTTGTTGGGAACTTAAGTACAAGGGTTTTGAGCAGACTTGTAGAAAGGTAGTGACAATAACAAGGAGTGATAATGATTTAAGAACCTTTTGAGTAGAAGGTTTGTTTTTTATACCGAAGCTGAACAATCTATGAATGTCCAACATACACTGCTGAAATCTGGTATGTATCACCTCGATCAGCTCTGCACTTATGTTATAAAACAAGTCTGTACAATTACTCTGCATGGCTGGGTCTTACCCTTTAATAATACAATTGAATGTATTAAATGTTAAATTTTAAAAATTATGCAGATTTCTAGGACAAGGCATTCTGCCACCTCCTTGCCACTTCCCACTGCCTGTCTGTGCATCTAATGATAATTCTCAGCCTTGTTTATCTCTGCAAAGCTGAAGTGATTTAGGAAATAGTATGTTAAGATTTAAGCGAGAGTCGTAGGAGAGTTGCATCATATATTTACTCTGTGCATTTCTATTAAAAGAATTAATGCATCAGTGTAAGTGAGTAGGGACAAAATAAGAAAAGGCAACACATATGATGTACACTTAGCAAGAGACATCAAGGGTAACAAAAAACAGTTCTGTAAATGCTTTGGGAATGGAGGGGGGAAAAGAACAAGAAAAAGATTTGGTTTGGTATTTACGAGGGATGATGAAGGGAAAACCATCAACAAAATAGACATTGAAAAAGCTGTAATTCTTATCTTTTTATCAGCCTTCCTTTGAAAGGGTTAGCTGCAGTCTGGTGGCTAACACTCTTAGTGCTAGTGAAAAGGAGGAAAGGTGTTATTCTTGTACTAAGAAAGAACAGGTTACGAAGTACATCCGTAGAGTAGATGGATGTCTGAGAAAGAAGAACAGAGAATGTTTACTTTTTAAAACAGGGAGGTGGGAAAAGAGAAGAATTGGAGAATTAGCTTTAATTCCTGGAAAAATACTGGAAGAGAGAATCCAGAGCTTGCAGAAACTGGGTTTGGAAGAACAAAGGAGATGAATACTGGCCAACAAATATTTTTCAATAATAAATCATGTAAAATCAAGCTAATTTCCTTCTTGGAGAAGGTTACAAGCCCTAGGGATAAGGAAAAAACAGCAGACATCCTGAAATTTATCCTTAGTCAGGCTTCTGACTTGCTTTACTTGACATTTTCATAAGCAAGTTAGGCAAGCGAGAGCTAATGAAACTGCTCTTGGGTGAATGAATGCCTAGAGAGATCCTGGCAGAATGGAAGGCTGTGCTGGGCAGAGAAGTGTTTTGTTCCGTGTCCAGTTCTGCTTGGTATTTTCATTAGTGACCTCAGGAAATGGGAGACTTGAAGATGGTATTAAATGAAGAGATGTTTTAAGTGTGAAGGACAAAGTTAGGATTCAGAAAGATGTGGACAAATGGTGGAAAAAAGGATCTGAAAGATGTATATTTGCTAAAAATAAATGCAGAATGTTTTGCTTAGGAATAATTCTTTGAAAAAAATACTGGTTTCTGGAACAATTGGCTAGGTAGTCATTTTGCAGAAGATCTGAGGGTTGTGGTGAATCACTAGCTGAATCAGCAGTGTCATGCTGTTGCAAAATGGCAAGCTGGGAGTTATAACCAGGATTACAGCCTGTAAGCCTTATAAAATATTCCTTTTGCTCTGCATTGATAATGCTTTTACCAGAATACAGCACCAAAGAACAGTAAATCAATTGGAGAGATTCTAGAGCAGAAAAATGAAAATTATCAGAAATATAAATATCATGACTTCTGTGGAAAAAAAGAAGAGAGTTAGGTTTAGACAATCTAGAAGAGACATTGTTTATGGGAGACCTAGTAGAAGACTTGAAGTAAGTAAATAGGTGTTGCAAAGACAAGGGACTAATCTTTGCTTTATCTGCTTGGTTGATGCGACAAGAATTACTGGACTTAAATTGCAAGAAGGAAATTTCACATCAGGTAGTGGAAATGATTTCTAACTGTACAGATGGTGAAGGTCTGTAATATATTGCTGAAGAAAGTTATCAAACCTGTATGAAAGGTGATATTTTAAGAACAAGTTGGACAAATTTCTGTGGAGAAGGTGTATGAATTCTCTGAGTGGGTGAAATCACTTCCAGTCCTACTCTTTGTCATTCTGACATTCAGTTAGAATGTTTTGTGAATTAAAAGTTAACACAAAGATCTATTGTAAGACCTTCTGAAGTGTTTTGAATGTAAGAAAGCCAATATATTTCTTCTGACTGTATTGTTATTTTCTGTAAAAACTGCATTGTTAAACAGTTAAGAGTGAATAACTTCCTATTGGCTATGCATTTATCACTCTGGTTCACAGAACTGGATTTCTAATTGATGGGTTTTTTGAGAGATGACTAGCTACCAACAAATTTGCAGTTGTTCATAGTGTTTAATAAATCATGAAATTAACTTCAATTTAGTATTTCTTAAATAGGAAAAACATGGAGAACATTTAATTGAAAAGATGCATTGCTGTTATAATTTGAGACATGAAAGCTTGTCTAAGCAATTTACGATTACATAATTTGGTGATGCTGTTCCATTATGTCACTACATTAAAAAAAAATAAACATACAGAAAGCCTGTCTGCCCCATCCTAAGTGACATAAAATCTAATTAAACCCTCATGGGAGTTATTTTGAGCACAAATTAAGGTAAGACCCCAAATCCATATGTTTTTATTTAAATATATACACATTTTTAAACTATAAATTTGGGGTCCAAATTCTGTGTTGCTTTACAGTATTTTGCAGCTAAGCTCATATTCACTAAGTTTTTGTTTTGTTTTAATTTCAGATAAATATGAGAGAGAAGCCAGTAAATATTGGAATGAATTTTACAAGACTCATAAAAATAACTTTTTCAAGGATCGCAATTGGCTCTTTCTGGAGTTTCCAGAAATTCTTCCAGAAAAAAGGAGAGAAGAGTTGAAAACACAAGAAAGATCTTCAGAACACACAAAAATAAATAGTACCAACAGTTTTACACACAGAAATGAAATGTTTGAGCAAGGAGAAAACTATTGGAAGAAAAATGGTTCTACTTCTGTACAAGGATATGTATATAATAAAAACCAAGCAAAATCTCTTACTGACAACCCTCGGGGTAAAAACTGTGGAGAAGAACTCAGCAGGCTAGAATCTTTCCCTGGTAGTGATGCCACTTACAGAATATTAGAGGTAATACACTGCAAATATTCTCCCCATCATATACAACTCCATTTAATTGCTCAAAAGCCTGATAAAAACGCTTAGTAAGTATCAAGAAAGTAAACATTTAGAATTTGACATACTACATTCATTTATGGCAGAAACTTTCAGAGAAACCTAGGATCTGGGCTGTGTTTTCTCTTTAAAGTTTCTCCCAAAGCAGAATTAAGGCTAGATTATCATATTACATTTTAACTGGAAGTTGGGTTTTTAATTTCTGAAGGAAAGTTCTGTCTTAAAGTTCTCTGTCTTGAAGTGCAGTACTTGACATGCTCTTTCTTGCCAAGTGCTGAAATTGGACAAGAATATTGCACTTTCCTATGCAGTTTGAGAGATGGATCCTCTGTTTACTTTAGAAAGACATTGAGAAGAAATGTGATCATAGAAGTGATTTGAGAATTGCGGTATGAGCTGTTCATACCTTTTCTGTCCAACATACCTTCAAGTCTAATGGGTCCTACCTACCAACTAATTTAAGACAAAAACAAAAAAAATGAAGTTTTATTTGCTACTTTATTTTAACTTTTTGTTTCTCCTCTGATTTTAGGTTGGTTGTGGAGCTGGTAACAGTGTCTTTCCTATTTTGAAAGTTCTATGGTATGTAGTGCTGGATTGTCAAATATCAAAGTTCTATTCTCATCATCTTCATTTTTTTCAAATGTTGGTGCCAGACCAGTGTTGCAGGAGGTGTTGAGTGGGCTGTTTTGCAGCCCTGAAATTCTGATTACTTGCAGACCACAGATAATCTTGGTAGCGTCATTGCAGATCCTTGCTAGCATCATTACAAGATACCCCTCATACTGGTCAACTCTAGTCTTGGGGGGACCAAATGTGGTCTGACAAAGTTTGTCTTCAGGTGCATTCAGACTGGTTTCTCATAGTTAATCTCAGGTAGGTGAAATATTCTCATCTTATATGTCACTGTACAGCTACCAGATATCTCTTCAAAAGTCCAGAATCGGAGACAGTAGATAATGGCATGTGATAGACTGGTAAGAAGTTGTATTATTTCTGAATTTGGCTGGTATACTTGGTCATATTGCTTCAGGTTTTAGTGTCAAGGAAGGCACAAGTCATGGACTGCATTACTTAATTCCATGAAAAACGTTAATCCACTTAGTTTCCAGTTTTAGAAAATGCTGTTATGACAGCGTGTCCTCCCTTCCATGTAGGCAGGAAGGTTATATTGGAAAGGCTGTGTATGTATCAAGGTTTGAAATAGATTTCTTTTTATTCATGCCTCCAAAAGCTTGAGTAGAGCACCGTTCATTATTCTGTAAATTAATTCAGATTGCTAACATCACAACTATACAAAAATACTCCATTTTGCAGATATGGAAACAGAGAACAGGAGGAATCAAGCGATGCACCAGGGTCATACATGAAACCTATTAGTGTTAGCAATGCCTCTTCATCCCAAAACAAATGCTTTGCTTTAGACAGCATATAATGAAAGGGGAGCCCTGTTTCATATGAAAAATTTGGAAAGTAACACTATTTTTTTGATATCATGTGGCTGTATTAAAAAAGATGAGACAAACTTCCTCACAGAAGGCATTAGTCATAAGTTGGCATTTCTGATAATTAAGAATACACTCATTAGGTATTTTTCCTGGAGATCTCTATTATGCAAATCCTTCAGTCAATCACATTGGTTGGTATACTGAACAATTCACATGTTTGTCTTATATATGACCTGATGGAAACTTCTTATACTTGTCAGGGTTGGCTTTATAGCACAGTTGGTTTTACTCTGAATTTAATAATATAAAAATTGCCTTTTGTATGCTATAAAAAGAAGGATGTGTGAAGTATGTGTGTACCGTGGCTACAAAAAAATTTTCCACTCAGGTTTGTAACATAATTTTTAAAGTGCTTTCCCCTGTCCCCCTTCAAATTTAAGTTACTGGTTTTTAATACAATGCATCATGTGAAATCTCCATCCAGATCAAACTGGCAGAGTTTATTGATTCCCTTTCTAAAGAAACCATCTGTCCAAATTTTCAGATATTTTAAAAGAGAGATTAATTGATCATGAGTTGACTGTGAGGTCATCCCTCACTAGGTTTTGAGAGGCTTGCTCAGTTTCTCTTAAATGAATTTTTCAGAGGTGAAAAAAAAAAAATTCTCCTTAGAGTTACTAGTATCTGATGAATGGTATGAGGAAACTTGCAGCTGGCTTAGTCTTGGATGGGAAAGGAAGGGAAAACAGTACTACAGGAAATTCTTATTCATCCTGGCTTACAAAACAAAGGGGATAATGGAGGGAAATAACCAATACTGCTTAATCTAATCAAAAACACAGCAAGGTGGCACACGGGAACCCAAATCTCTACAGAACTGTGGATGACTTTTGCAACACACCACCCCTGCCCAAATCGTATTGCTAATTAAACAGCGTACATGGGCTAATGATAGAGACTTAGTGCAGTGCTTCTGTAAGAAAATGTGACCTATTAATGTGCATTTATGTAATACAACACCAGGACATTGTCATCAATCCTGACAGCCCTCTGTGGCCTTCTTTCTTTTCCTTTTCACTTCCTTCCTGACAAGGCTATAATTCTCCTTTTTATACTAACTGCCTGTTGGTATTCTTATGAATTTGTCTGCCCTATTGGTTCATTACAACCTATGTGGCTTTCCATGTGCTAGACATCAATAAGGCATGCTTGATCAAACCTGTGGAGAACCCCAAAGGGTCCTCTGTAGTTCCATGAACACTGATGTAGACTTTCATCTTTTACAATAATAACTTTTTAACTGATGTTGGTTTTGTTTTCCTAGCAATACACCTGGAACCTTTCTATACTGTTGTGATTTTGCTTCAGGAGCAGTGGAGCTGGTAAAGGTAATTCATATATGCTCGCTTTAGAGTACCTTATAAGCCTGTAATTCAGGAGGCTGCCAGGAAGCCATCTTCATGAAAAAGAATGTGATAGCTTTGACAACTTTTAACTGAAGTTTTCAGTATTCCAAAGAACAAAGTCTTACTCTATGCAGAGAGGAATGAATACCATCAGTGAGCTTGGTTCTCAGCTTGAGTAAGATACCAGACAGAATAGGCTTTTATATGAGATGTTTTACAGTGCTGAATAATTGAAGAAAAAAAGTTTCTTGAGTCACAGTAAACGTATTAACTATTACTGTTCTCTCTGTGCCTCTTTTCATCTTTTTCCTGGCAGTCACATTCGTCCTACAATTCAGCCTGGTGTTCTGCCTTTGTTCATGATGTGTGTGATGATGCTTTACCCTATCCTTTTCCAGATGAGATCCTGGATGTCATTCTCCTTGTCTTTGTGCTCTCTACTATTCATCCTGACAGGTAAATGAAGACTAAAGGGCAAAGCAAATGAGTTAAACCTCTTTTATCACTGGAGGTTTTCAAGGATGTCAAAAGAAAATGATGAATCTTTAATTTCTTATTTAGTAAGCTACAATATATATAAAACAAGATATTTTAAATGCTGTTCTCCGTTTTCAGGCTTCAAGAGAAAAGCTGGTCAGACTAATTCATTAGTGAGCCTCCTGTCTCCATCAAAATACAAGCGGTATATTCTAACTAAATACATCCCTATTAAAAGTGACAGTGCTTTAGGAAAATTACAAATTAAAAAACAGACCACTAGTTTTCTAGAAGGAAATTATTTTTAGTGATCAAACCCAAACATTCATGATTTAACACCTTACAATATGTTGGTAAAGACTTAGGTTGCCAATTTAGCAAATGCATACATGCAGCCCTTTTAAACCAAAATGCTTTCAGAATTTTGTAACTTGTTTGGATTAAGAAAACTAGATCTATTTTTCATGCATAGTGTTATATTCAGTGCTGTTAGCTTTGTTACTAATGCCTTTCAATGTCTAATGAACCAAATTTTATGACTGTTAAGGCTGGCTGATTGTGAAAATGCCCTTTTTTAGTGGGAATAATGTAAAAGAGAGCATGTAAGCTAAACTCCTTGACTCTTCCTTTAACCAGATCATATGAAGGGAAATACATGCTGTATGTGTGGTAATACATTTATTACTTTAAGAATGTCGTTAAAATGGACTTGGCGAACAGAACAGTATTTGCCTGAGAACTGTTTCCCTGCCTCTGTGCCCAAGTTATTAATGATTAGCTTTACAGAAAAATCTTTCCCATATAAGATATTGCTCCTTCCTGTTTGTTCAGAGATGAGCACATGAGTCATGCAAAGCCTGGGTCCAGATTACAAAAACAATTCAAGCAGTAGATTTCAGATCTCTAACTGTGGTGATGCTGCCAAGAAGAAATTGGACAATAGAGATGCATTCATTCAGTCTCTTTGCCTGTAGATGCAGTAATCAGATGTTCTGTCAGAATTTCTGTGGATCTTTTCCTAGTAATCATTTGATAGTATGTTTGTCTTTTTTTTCTTTTTTTTTCTGCCCATGTCAGCATCCAAAGTTTGACATGGATGCTTTTGTGTGTGTGTGTGCGTGTGCATGTGTATACACACATAAAGATCTCTGTAATTATCTGTGTTGTAAGACTCACTTTCCAAAGATTTGTTAGTCATTACTGTCATCTCATAGATTTTAAATGACTGCATAAAGGCAAATGTAATCCAGATTCATCTTGCTCAGTATACATTTTTTCTGGAAACTTTGAAAGTGGGAAATGAAAAAGAAAACGAAGAGAATGATGATGCAGAACTAATGTACTTTGGAGACCTGGAAAATACACGAGAGGGACACATTTGTATTCAGCACAATTATTACTTAGTGATTTCAGGTTATTGTGTTTAGTTTTTTATAATTGCTACTTCTGGATGTACCCCATTTTTAACATACTTCAATTCTGATAAAAGTCCTCTCTAAAAGTTGGTTGTGGAATTTGAAATATGTTAAACTATCTTCAAGCTGTATAATCAATGTGCTCTAGTTCTATGGGATGAGATCTCTCAAAGCACAGTTACTTTTTGTACATGTAGTTTTTTTTCTGTGTGCACAAAATTTATGTCTATATAGGCAGAGTTTGTAGTTCTGTGCACAGCTACCTGTCTTGAACGGTCTCTTATTCTTAGGTGGTGCTGCCTTTTCTCTCTGTGGCAGCATACTTGGTTGCCTGCATTGAGCGTAAGCAAAGAGGACAACTTTTAAAGAACTTGGCTTCCTCTGAGGGAATTCTGTGCTTAAAAAGTATATACCGCTGTTTGTTGTTGTTTGTTTGTTTGGAGATATTATATTATTTTCTGCTGAACTACCTCCTAATTCTGTCCCTTAAAAATCGAGGCAAGATGCCTGCACTGATGTTGCACAAGGACCAAATTCATTAGTGCTTGAGTTCTGATGTTCTTGGGGCAAGGGAGTTAGGCCACCTGAGAGACAGGGATGGTGTAAGGATATTCTCTTGGTACACAGTAAGGATATGCTGATTTTATATGGTTAAGGTAGACTTACTCTTCTGTAGCTCTTCCCAGATCCAGCACTCTGCATTTCCTTTCCATTCACTCTGGCTCCACATCTTTTACATGGTCTATCCACTTCCCTGTGGTAGGAAGGGTTGAATTAGGCAAGTGGGCTTTTCTGCCTTGCAGCCTACCAGGTGCAGGCTGCCTTTGGTGGTTTTTCATGAATGTGGAAAACTTGAGTCCTTCAGTTTGTTCTGAAAGAGTGAGGCAAATCCAAGCCATTATTCATTAGTAATGTATTTTGCACAGTAATGCAAATGTATTTATAAGAAGCTTCAAGGTAAGGTTAAAAAGTGAGGCTAAAGATGCTCTGGTCTAGTGAAGGGGAAGAGTACTGTGTTACAGTATTTATTCCTATCATACATACAGCAGGCTGGTGTAATCTTGATAAGGAAGAGCTGATGTAAGATACCACCAAGATTCACAAATTTGTCAGCATTCTGGAGGACTTTCCTCCTCTAACTAGCAATATCCCCAGATGGAGTTCTGTCATATTCCTCTCCTGAGGTACTACTCAGATTGTTCTTTCCATCCTCAGCCATTAGGTATGGAGATACTGATTTTGTGTGTATGATCAGTACCTCCATAAAGAAATCAGATAAGTTTTTGCCTGCCTTCAAGGCCCTTGATTTTGCTATATACAATGAGAAGGCTCAGTCTAGCTCACTAATGCACATAGTTAACTCTTCGTTCATTGTTTGTGATATATCTGCCTGACCCATGTACTCAAAAACTGTGTTTTGATCCATCCTTGAGATTCTGTTGAAGTGAAGGAAAAGGGCTCCTTTTGTCTTTCCAGTTAGTATTCTCTTACAATTCCTTTTAAACTTTTGGTTTAGAGGCTTTTTTTTGGTAAAAAGTTCTTCCTGTTCACTTAGTGCCTGGCCTTTTCATAGTAAATATAGACATATCTTCTCACTGTAGTTTTGGAAATCTATGTATATTCTGAGCATCTAGAAAAATAGAGTTATGTTTGCAAATTTCAGCAGTATCCCATCTATTTTCTAAGGATGCAAGGGGTTGTAAATAGGTTGGCGAAACTACTGAAACCTGGAGGAATGTTGTTATTTCGAGATTATGGAAGATATGATACAGCTCAACTTCGTTTTAAAAAAGGTAATTCCTGGATGCTTTTGTAGTTCGCTATTCATTTTAACTCTTATTGGAAAAAAATGTGACGTCGTTTTTCATTACTGCTCTAATTTCTTAGGTCATTGCTTGTCAGAAAATTTTTATGTGCGAGGAGATGGAACCAGAGTGTATTTCTTTACCAAAGGTATGAAATGGCATAGTTTTATAGAAAGGGTTGAGTGTCTCTCAAGATGATTTGGCTTAAAAGCTCATCTTAGAACATACATTTAAAGAAGGTATTATTGGCTTTTTTTTTTTTTAATTTCTCTGCTTTTGCAAAACACAAAGCTAACTATTGTAAGAAAATAATTTCCTTTATATGTAGACTTGTTGCATCTGGGGTCCTGTAAGATTGCTTGCAGACATCGCTGGAGTTTCTCTTTGTCTAAGCATCCCGTGTCTAATGGTGTGCTCAAATTCAGTTATTTAAAGATATACTTGATTTCTTTCTTAAAATTCAGATAACCATACTTGGAAGGACAGTTGGTAGCAGTGCTCTGATATTTTGTTCTGCTGTGTTGGTTAATCTAAGCTGTGAGGCTGCTCTTTCTGCGGGAGCTAAACTTATTATTATGGATATTATTGCTCTTCGCCCGTCTCCCCACTTTGTTCTATTTGCAGTCAGCTTGGACTGGTGTATTTTAGCCCAGCTACTGGAAACTGTGAAAGTGAGCATCACAATACTTTTTCTCTTTTTTTTTTTTTTTTTTTCTTTTTACCCTCTGCAACCTAGACTGTAAGCAATAGAGATTGATCAGGATTTATCCCAGCCTGAGTACTTTTAGAAGTGAGAAGGAGTATCTGGGACGTGTATGGGAAATCACTTGAATTCAAACAGCCTTCTCAGTTTTTTAATGTCTTGGTTTGTGCTTACTCATGACAAAGAAGCTTGAAGTTTTCCAGTGGTGACTGACAAGAAAGAGACAATAACAGTGGCATAAATGTGTGGATTGTCATTTGGCAGGTGAAATAGCTTTATTTTGATAATATGTGAACAGTGACCAAATGGCATACATTTGTTTTCCTCAACTCTGGCATGCTGAGCCCTCTGAAGAAAGGGGATCTATGAATGCCAATAATCAATGGGGTTTGGGCCTCAACATAACATTTTTTACCGTAATATAAATTGAGAGCTGTGAAAATGAATTTCTAACAAAAGACTTTTTACAGGCAGTTTCCTTGATCTTTCAAATCGCAAAACAGATTTAGTTCTATCTTTGGTTGAACTGCAGGTTGTTAATTTCTACATTCTACAAATGCCTTTTTTTTTTTTTTAATTACAATAATTCTTCATATGAGAAAATAGATGAGGTATGGAACATGTTCAACTTGGCTGGATTGACTGAAGTACAGAATTTAGTTGATCGGCGATTACAAGTAAACAGGAAGAAAAAAGTGAAAATGCAGCGAGTTTGGATACAAAGCAAGTTCCAGAAACCATTGCTGCTATCTCTAAATAGCCCTGAAGAAACCACCAAAAGGCATCCTTATAGATGATTGTACCATGAACTCCAGAAACTGAAGCAAATTTGAGTATGTATATTTCCTATAAATCTTGTGTTATATCTCCACTGAAAAGGAGAAATACATTGAACTGAAAACCCTTCTTTGATTTTTTGGTAAATGTTATGTGTGTGAAAATGATCTGAGGGGGGAGGCATTTCTGACTTCTGCTTTATATGCAATACAGGGAAATGCATTAATCTGTTAATCACTTCCTTGACTATGAACAGTCTATAAGCATGTATCTTGATCCTGTTGAAATTCACAATATGTAAAAAGTTTTAGACTAAAGCATAATTGTTTCAGAGATGTAGAGAAACAGAATATCTGTTCTCATTGTAACTACCAGCTGGGCTGTGTTAATTTCTGAGTCATATCTCTTTTAACCACTGTGTGTCTTACAACTGTATTTCCTCTTTGGGGGGAAACTTCTTGGTGCATAAATAATGAAGACAAAATCTGATTTGCATGTAAGTTATCATTTCACACTAACTGCATGTGATATGCACAGGCATCAGATCAGTGTTTGGTGTCCTCCACTGTGACTGACTTATTCCTCTGAAGCCTCCACTTCCCATCTCCATGCTTATCAGAAACATGCCAAACGCAAGTTTGTGTAACAGCTTACTGACACATACATTTAAAGTGCTGTGGCTTGTAAGCTCAACATCATGTAGAAAAGAATTACCAAAATGGCAGAACATTGCTGAAACCAAATAGTTAACATTTGCCTGGATAAATACAAGCATTATTTTTATTATATGTCAGATATACTAGAGGGAGGAGGAAAAAAGAGAAGTCCAGAGTACATTTAATTAATATTGCTATGGGGTAATGTGATCACACTAAAATTCTGATACATGGTAGCTGAGATATTTTTGTTGTTTACAGAGGGAAGTTGGTTTCATAGGGCCTGAGTCTTAGAAAAAAGACACAATGGTTTTGTATTGACCCTGTGGAGAGACAGTAAAAGGACAGGACTACGCTAGGACATCAGGTACTTTTAAGAAGAAAACCAAGATGCAAAAACTGTTTTCAGATGCAGATCTTGATACTGAGGCGGTTGAGCTAGTATTTAAAGATGCCACTTCTGCTATTTAAATGTAATTTTACAATCATTTAGCCCCAAGGAGGATAGGACAAGAAACAAGTGGATGAATAAAATAAATCTCTTACTTCAACAAGGATATAGAATGCATGTAATCTATAACATGCATGCAGTTTTGATTGCCATTAATACAGTGACACTCTTCAAGTCGCTTTTCTTGCTTTTGTTCTAGTCTGAAGGATAAGCATGTCACAGCTGACAACCCATTTTTTTGCAAGTTGTTAGCTAGTAAGCTAAGTAGAACTGATTGTCTTCTAGAAAAAAATAAATTATCTAAATTTAGATGCTAAGTATCGTCATCCTCTCTGACAAGATGAGGGACCTGCTTAATTTCCATAAACCCAGATCTGTTTCAAGAATGAGGTGCAATAAGGGGTCCTTGAAGGTAGTCTCTAATACTGCATTTCTAGTGTATTTTAAACTCCCACTAGAGTAAGATACTATTTCATTAACTAAGTGGCTTAGGAAGCTTTTGGTAGCATTATTGTAACCTGAAATAAAACTCTTGTGGTATAAATCAAAGGTTAAAACATAGCTGTGTTTATTCAAGCCCTAGGTCTTAAGAGACTATAGCAACTGCATGAGAAATGTAAATAAATAACTGCCTATATTATAATTACGTTGCTACAGCGTGCTGTTTATCGTAACTTCAGAGTATGCATAGCTTTTAGTCTAGTACAAAGCATTTTCAGTTGTAGAATTTTCCAGGGGGGTGATGGTGATGATAAGCTCTTGCACTTCATGCAGTCTTATTCGTGTGTGTGATGCAGATTTTCCATGTATAGAGGCTAATGAAATGTTTGCTTTGGCTCTCACACCGATATGTTGATTCTGGCAAGATTTTAATATGCTATGCTGTTAGTCTAACAAAAATCTGATATCAGAAGAAACCAAACCCTGAGTTCTCGTATGGCCCTGAGCAGAATTCGCTGTTTTTCTTCCATACCTTGCAGCATAAGTATTGGCTGCCTCTTTTAGAATGATGGTGCCTGTTCTAGAAGTAGTAAGGTCAGCTCCTGTTTGTAAGTGTAGAATATCCACTATAAAGTGTACTGTAACTAGTCTGAACAGCTGTAAGATTGATAGAAGGGGAAATGGACAAAGACATTGTTCCTGATAAGAACTTTTGAATCTGGGTAGGACTTTCTGTATTTTGGCTTTGTGATATTTCAGTTTTCAAAAAGCTTGATCAAGGACATGTTTTAAAAATACTTTTAAATTATCTGTATTAGTTGGGAAAACTAATATTACAATATTGGCAAAAGAAAGGCAAGTAGAACTACTGAAATAAAAGAAAAGAGATATAGACAACTATGTAGGAAATGCAGTTTAAAATGGCTTATTGTTAATTAATTTCTGGGGGGAAAGAAAAATTAGGGTATTGCAAACAAAGAGTGTCCAGTGTAGAAAAAGGCTGTAAGTTTTGCTTTTGAAATCTGATGTTACTTCTTTAATCAGGTATGTACCTGAAATCATATATATTTAGAGAAGTATACATTATATAAATAGTAAACATTTTAATCATTAAATGCATTTTTTCTTTTTGTTCGGCATGACTTCCTGTGCTGCTAAAGCAGACTTGAGAATGTATATAGGTGGCAATTAGAGAAAAATAATCTTGTTAGAATTGAGCTTTGGCTTCATTGGCTTTGGCTTGCTTTATCAATAGTGTGTACTTTTTGCCTGTCTCCACTGGTACTGCATTACATTTATGTACAGGGATACATGAGAATGGTACTTACTGGTTTAGACCTTGCTTGGTTTTTAAGCAAGTACGAGATGGCTATAAAGTAAAGAAGTGACCAACCTTTTTTTCCTACACTAATTCTGAAGTAGCTAGTCAATAACAATTATTCATGTAAAAAATGTTGGGTTTTTTTCCAGCAAAACCAAGGCAGGTGCTTGTGCCCTGCCTACAAATCCATTGGATCTGAAGATGACAACCAAAACACGGGGCAGACGAGGAGACAGCAGGAACTCTAGTGACACTGGGGGAAAGTTTCTTCCATTGGAAACTGCTATGTTTCGGTTTTCTCTTTCACTGATGACTTGGCTAACCTGCAGATTCTCTTGTTTAATAATGACTAAAAATTTGTAACAAACCATCCTGAAATTTGTATTAAACACCAGTGGAAACCACTTAACATAAATCTTGCTACTTCATTTTTTGATTTGTGGTGTGATCTTTATTCACTGCTCCAGTGTGCTCTTTGATCTGTTGACATATCCCTCATTTCCCATTTTTCGTGCATGTAGTAGGCAATTAAGCAGTTTTCACAGGAGCTATATACGCAAACATTTGCAGTAAAGTTTGGTGGCTGGGTTATTTCTAGGATCGAAGCAAGAGAGTTTTATTTCTTTCTGTACAGAATGGATTGCTTTTTCTTTTTGTGTGATTGCAATGAATTGTATAGATGCTAAATTAATAGTGTTATTGGCTGTATTTTTTTTATTATTTTAAGACAAATACACCTTAGGGTATGCTGTTTATAGTGGCAGTGATAACAGTAGACAGTTCATACATAAACTGTTTCTTCTGCATAATGGATGGTTGAATAACCTTGGAAATAAACAATATATACATATTATAAAAATATTAAACATTGCTGTTGTTAATAACACAAATCACTTTGCTTTTTAGTATCTGTAATCTTCTCTCCATGTTTGGAACAAAGCTTAGACATGAGCAGTTTCTTACATCAGTGAAGTATCATTTGCCATGCTCTTGAGAATCAGCCTGCAACTGGACAAGCCCGAGTTTCCTAAACGCAATTACCATTAGTATACCTTCAGTAAGAACTACATGGGTTGCCATGGGCACCTTAGCAGGATCTTTGTCCTACCTGCTGGTCCAGGCATATAGGTCATGCCTGGACTGGACTTTGAGCTGAGAAAGGAACTTCTTTGCCCAGTGACCATCCTCCACCCTTTGCTAGTACCAAGCAATTAAAAAAAAAAAACCAAAAACACTTCCCTGATTTGAAAGCAAGAGCCATAGAGGAGGGGAGGAAGAGGAAGATACAGCTCAAAGTCAGACAAGAGAAGAAACAAGTGTTTCCTCTTGGAACTGGGGTAAGAAGGAAGCTTGGACTGACAAAGCAAGAAGAATGAGATGCAGAACTGAATGGGGAACTGAGGAACAGAACAGCATGGGCACCACATAGGGAGCAGACATATAAAAGGAGACAGTGTGGCAGGGTGAGGACATTGGGCCTGGGAATGAGTGAAATGAAATGTAGGAGGCAAGAGGAAAAAGGGGACTGATCTGTCACAGAAATAGGATGAAACCTTGGTAAACAAAGACATTGGGGTGAGGATTGGAGGTGGAAAGACCTATCTTCAAAGTCTGTTTCTCCCAACTGGTACTGTATTTTCACATCTTAGGAGAGTATTATAGGCTTTGTCTTCCATCTATATATGCACAATGTATTGCAATTTATAACAAAGATGGAATGTTTCATTTGTTGTAGTTTATATGTGCTATGCACGTGTATTTGCAACAGTGCAGGCAGGTTTATGATACACCTGCTTTTGCTTTTTCCCTAGGGAACAATGTTTTTACCTTCTTTCAAGTAGAACTCTATAGTAACAGAAGCTACACTCCTAGCCTCCTGGGAAGCAAATACAAAAGAATAACAGAAGTGTCTACATCCTGATTGTGTTCAATCAAGGTAGGACAATTACATTTACTCCATATGTTCTGATGTCCCATTTAAATCAAGACCATATCTGCAGATTATCACCTTGAAGTGCTTCCCAATCTCAATTTCTGTTATACTTGCATCTGTTCAACAGAACTTAAATGAATTTGTATAGAGTAGAAATACAATTTAAAAGGAGAATAGCAGAATAATCTTTAGGCTTTATCTGGTATTACAAGAGTTTA